CCTCTAAAAAAATAAATAAACCTAATAGAGGGCTATGGGCTTCTGTCATTCTGGGGTGGCTCGGGGGCAGGGCACAGGGCTTGTCACCAATACAAATTCACGGAAGGAAAGCATGACCGACAATTTGCATCATGTCCTTTAGAGGTACATACCATGTCAGAGGGGAACATCGCCCTGAACACTTTCTTTTTACTATCTTTCCCCCAGAAGAAAACAAAGATGGGCTTGCCTCCTAGTGCCTTCTCTTCCCCAGCTCCTGTGCATATGTCCTTAAAATTGCTTTGGGAGTACAAGACATTCTCATAGGGAGCTGCCCGGTGAGTTTGTGAGAGGTGGCCATAGCCATAAAGTCAGCAAATGAAGCTTCAACAGTTCCACCAGAATTACATTTCTCTCCTCAGCCTTCAGGGCCTCTGTAATAGGACCTTAATTCGTAACACCCTCTCCAACCCACCTCTCAGGTTGTCTCCTCAGTCACCCAGACACACCAAGTCAGAGTCACAGAACTCCTGCCCAGCCCTGCCTCCCAGAAAGCACTAATCTCTCGACTACTTTATACTTCCTTGCCTCGTCCTTAGTCAATATGACAGAATACCCGTGTTCTAGAGAACATGACATCCATCAGTCACCCAATGTTTTTTCCAAACCCATTTTAAAAAGTGATGTTGCGGGAGTGCAGTAGTTGATCTGTTCATCCACTTCACAATAATATTTATTGATCCTCACCTCGATCAGCACTGTGCTAACTGCCTTCCTGCACTGTTACATTTCATCCTCAAAATAAGGTTCCCTGATCCTGATAAGTCTCCCCTTTTATTGTTACATAATATTATAAAGGGACTCAGATGATTTGTAGAAAAATAAGCCAACAGTTTAAACACAAGTCATATATTGTTCGTGGGGTTAAACATGACCAATCACCAGACAGTGAACAAACCTCACAGATCACAGAGTCTGCGGCTCTCAACACACACATCTGATCAGTTTCTTTCTTCTTTTTTTGATGCTCCAAAGATGATTCTGATGACCAGCCAGGTGGTGAACCAGTAAGCCATTTCAGTTAGCTCATTTTGTAAGAGATTGGAAGGAGAAAGATGGTGCTACCATGTATTGAATGTCTGCCAAGCTGCTACCTGCTTACCTACCTTATTTAAGACGCAGGGAACTGAAAGCAAGGATGTCAGGAAATTAGCGCAAAGCAACAGAGCTAGGTCAAGGCAGGCCCATGTTTCTTCTGTCTTATCTTCAATTTCTTCCCTCTATCTAAAACCCAACTACTTCACTAACATAAGCCTTTTACGTAGATGATCTCACTTCATTTTGCAAAGAAAAACAAAAAGATACCATAAAATAGGTACTATTATTATTACTATTTTATGCACATGAAGAAATTGAGGCCACTATTTCTGTAAATTAGCTTCAATGTAATTAGCCCTAAGTCAGTTTGCTAGCACACAGTGAAGGCAGGACTTGAATTCAGATTTTTTTTCATTTTAGGGCTAAATTTTAATAGAACATGAAGGGTTGAACTCCTACTTTAAACAAACAAAAATTTAAAGTTACTGTGCGTTTCAGAATGTTTTATGGGGAAACTAATCTGTAACAAAAACTTGGCATTGAGTGAGGAGGTGGCAACATTTTTGAGCAAAGTGTAAAAAATCCTCAGGGGTACGGGGCAAGGAGTGAGGGGGCTCAGACATTTGCAATAGCAGGCGTTTTCTCTTCCTCTTCCTGACTGGAGGTGGAGAGAACCACTGAAAGAGCTTCATCAAACACCACATTTGGCCTCGCCGTGTGAGAGCACAGCGTGCCGAGGGGTTTACAGCACAGCCCCCCACAGCCGTGGCTGCACCATGAGGATACATGCCGGCAGTCGGCCTCTTCTCCTTCAGTTTCACAGTCATGTCTTCATCATCCCAAAGATCAAGCTGAGTTCCCACTAGGACAATGGGAGTATTGGGACAACAGAGTCACACCTCAGGATACCACTTTGCACGGACATTTTCAAAAGATGCGGGACTCACAAGAAAAAAGCAAATTAAGAATACGTCTGTTTGTGGATAGGATGGGGGTGTGATCCGTCATCTTCTTCTTGTCCAGCTGTATCCGTAAGCCCAGACTCACAGGTATTCCATCTGCCATAATATTAGAAGAATGGTTATCAAAGATAGTGGGGATCTATACTCCAGGAAATGCACTGGTTGCGTCACTGATCAGGAAGCAAGTTTTATCTGCTACTCTGTCTCCCACCGCCACCCTGGTCTTCAGCAGCAGGGCGCAGGGGGCCAGGGTGCTTGTCTTGGCCACTTCACCCTCCCTGACTGGAAGCTGAAGCCCAGCAGCAGCCACCATCCAAACATCCAGATTTTTTATTTCTATATCTTGTGCTTCACACTCAGTGGCTTCCTTGCCTGAATACGAATGCACAGATCTCCTACTCTTTCCTCAACCTGCCTTTGACACTTCATTGTGTTTTGCACCTATTGCAATTTCATATTGCTGTGTCATGCGTTATTGTTAAATCCCCACCTGGGGTCAAGGCGTAGCGAAAAGTTCATGGTTCTGAAATCAGGTGGCCCTGGCTTTTAATCCTCCCTCTCCTGCCACATGCTAGTGTTGAGATCTAAGGCAATAACAGTAATTGCTAACAATTTGTGAGTACTTGGTGTGTACAGTGACACTAGTAGCTTAATGTGCATTAACTCATTTAATCTTCAAAAAGGAGAGAAAAACAATTAATATTCCCATTTTGTGAAAGAAGGAACTAAGAGAATCAGTTTTTCTTTATGGGTAAAGTGGTGATAGTCACATCTCATGGGCAGGTTGTCATAAGGCTCACATGCGATGACTTACAGAAAGTGCCTAGAACACAGGAATAAATACCCTTGTCATCATTCATTCCTTCCCCTTCACCTTTCTCCCTTGAGCACGAAGACCTCATCTCTACTGCTTCTGCTGCCCCTCAGAGTCGGAGGCAGTGGTGAGCACATAGCAGAGACACATAAATATTATCAACAGTCACTTTGGTAGTTTGGAAGTCTCCTCAAATTTGACCTTAACTCCTCTCTCACCAAAGATATCAAATGAATCAATGCTGACCTTCATCATTTTCTCTGACTGTCACTAGTCATGCAATAAAATACAACAGGTGGAGCGGCTACACTTCACTGGTATTAACAGCCACTTGTCACGTTCCACCATCATGTTCCGGATGCAACTAAGAAAAACTCACACCTGAGCTGGATAATGATGCGAATGATGTAACTCAGCGCTTTGCCTCTCTAGCCCTGAGAATCACCTGGGAAGCTTTTTAAAAATATGTTTTATTGAGGTATAGTTGGTTTACAATGTGTTAATTTCCAGTGTACAGCATAGTGATTTAGTTATACATATATACATTCCTTTTCATATTGTTTTTTATTATAGGCTATTACTAGCTACTGCATATAGTTTCCTGTGCTATACAGTAGGACCTTGTTGTGTGTCTATTTTACATATAGTAGTGTGTATCTGCAGATCCACTTGGAAGCTCTTTTAAAGCACAGATGCCTGGCTCTGCTCCAGAGATTCTGATTTAATTCGTTGAAGTGGGGTCCAGGCATTAAAAATGCTTAAATTCTCCAAATGACTGTAATGTGTAGCCAGGGTGTCAAATAACTGATTTACCTATACACATGAATGGGAAGTCCGTTTAGTTTGGGAAGTCTGTCTCCCTGCATGTGATATCATTTGGACTAGGACCAAATACTTTAACATCGTGCAGTAACCATAGAGGGAAACTGAAAAATATGCAACCTCAAGCAGGATCAGCAAATACATGGCTGCCGCACTGGGCCCATAATCACAGCTCTCTTCCCTACTTGGTCATGGTCCTTCATCCCTTCCTAGGAGGGCATCTTGGTTGTCACGTGAGATAGAGCTTAATCTTGCACAAGGTATACATATACTTAAAAAGCTATTATAAGACAGTATTTAAGCAATACACCTCGATCAGGAACTTAGTACGTGCCAGGTGTTGGGTTTGCTGCTAGCAGTTATGAAGATGGGTAATATGTGATTCCTGCCCTCATGAACTCAGTCTACCAGAGAAGAGAGGGCGTGGAAAGTGCTTCTGTGGCACTTATGTAAACAGAGCTTTTGGAAGAAAGAGAAGAAAGCAACTGTCTGTGCCTGGGAGAATCAGGATGACAAGGAGAGTCATCAAGTGCGTTGGACCACGGAGGACTGAGTAGGAGGAATTCACCAGGCCCTCTTCAATGGAAAGGGCATTCTACCGAGGGGGCAGCATGCACAAACGCAGTGACACATGAACAGCTGTTGAGCTTCGGTGTGCAAGTGGTACTATTAGTGCGACCTCAGCCTAGAGGGAGCATGAAGGACTGACAGAGGTCAGGCCGGAAAGAGAAGCATTTTGGCCTTTGCATGGCATTTTGGTGTTTGGATGACAGCCAGCACTGTTCAGTGGAACTCTGTGATGGTGGAAATTAAGGGGGTGGTTCAAGTAAGAAAGTGGATGAGAATTCCAAGAGCGTGCCCAAACTCAATGGGAAAGTCTTGAATCCGTATCAAAAGCCTCAGTGCTCAATCCTGTTTTTCTAGCTGCAAACCAACATCATTTGACTGACGCTATTTCTCCACCTAGCTATGTCATCATGGATAAACACCCGTCCTGCTCTGAATGGGCCCAAGATCCACCCATCCCAGTGCCACCTCATGTGTGGTAATCCCAACAGGCTGGCTCCCCTTTGGAAGAAGGTCAGAGAGAAAAGGGAATGTAGGCTGGTCCCCAGGATTCTGTCTCAGATGACGAGGTGATGGAGCTGACAACAGGCTTCCCAGAAAGGAAACATAGGAGGGCAGATTAGGGGAGGAAGACAATGAATTCAGTTTGAGGTGTGTTAGTTTTGAAGTGTTTTGTATCTTCCTCCTAAAGTCCGCACAAAACCCGATGTTCAGCAGCCCAGTCTTTCTCAGGGAAGCCTTCCCTGGCATCCCTTCTTCCACATCAGCTACGCCTCCTACTTACTTCCAGTTTACCTTTTTTCATAGCACTTATCAAACTTTTGTGCAAGCCGCTTGACGGCCTGTGCTTTGTCTTTATCTCTGGACCCCACCGGCAGCCACAGTATGTAATACATAGTGTGTTTTAAATAAAGTGTGATGGGTATAAATGAAAATCAGTTGAACTGGTTACTGTTTAGAGACCAGAAGTGCAGGGATTAGGCTTGGGCAAGGAGAGAAAAGGTCATCTTTTCCCAAGAAGGAAGAAAGCAAAGGTAAATCACAGAAAAGTTGTCCCCAGAGAGCGGATGTTGTTTCACACCCTTCATCAAATGAAGAGAAGGGTTCATGATTCATTTTTATTGGGAGGAGCCCTAAATGGGCTAAGCATACACTGTGAAGCTGAGTCAGAGTGAAATTCCCTCGGACCTGCTTTGACTGTATCTGCATGATGAATACAGAGCTTACTCCCTGATTAGGGCTCAGCAGACACTTCATCTTACATTTAGGAAGCTCCCCGTAAATAATTGCTGAATGAATGGAGGAAAAAAAAAACGTGCCCTGGGGATAAGGGCATCTGTGGTAGGAAGTCAAAAGATAAATATTTTCAAGTTAAACTGATTTTACTTTAACCAATTCCATGTTTATTCTCATTATCACCCCTAAAAGCTGAGTGTGAACCAGTGTTTTATTAACCTACTAAAAGCACTGGACAGTCATTTCAAATTTAATAGGATAAGATTCAGATGTTGGTAGATCATTTCTTACTTATGTAACGAACAAAGAACATGATGTAATAGGACCATCTATCCTGGGAACTCCAGAAATATGACATCACTTTGTTACTCTCCATACTTCGACAAATTTAGGAGTATCATATATAATTATTTGCAGAGGGATTTTTAAACAAGACTTTCCATGTTTTTGCCTTGATTATGTACTTATGTACTTCAGGTACGCTCTAGCTCGGTTCAGATTCTCCCTGCCTTTGGTACCATATAGCCAAACAGGACAGGAACTTAATTTCAAGATAGTAAGAATGCATATTCAAGAGGAGAGCCAACCCAACTGTTCTCAGTTGCCCTAGGTTGCTACTATGGAAACAAACCCACAGATACAAACAAACCCTGTACTCCGCTCAGTAATAAGAACTCCCTTCACTACTCCTTTCACTAAGGGCTTTAAATGTCTTTAAATGTCACTGCCAAGTGGATTAAGCGTTGCTCTTCTCTCACTAGCTTTTAAAAATTAAAATGTTTTCTTCGATTACAAAGCAATACTTTGAACTATAAAAAAAAATCTGAAAAATGCAGATGGGTAAAGAGAAAAAAAGCTACCCCTGAGGTAATCGGACATCCTGCTGATAGGTCAACGAGGATTTAAGGCATTAAATAAAAAGTAGAAAAAAGCACCTAGTGATGTTTTATAACTACTGCTTATTCTCATAGTATATATTAATGATTAGCATATTTTTCAAATTTGCAAAACCATTTCTTCAAACGAATCTTATATAGAAGATCAATATGTAAAACTGATTTTAAAAATAGGAGGGGGGCTGCTGAAAGGAGCTGACCCCCAAACAACCCCACAGCGAGCCCTGAAGCACTTCTTGCTACCTTAGAGTTCTTCAGAGCAAAATTTACAGTCCAGTGGCATTTATCATTCCAAGCCTTTTTCTGATGAATAATATTCATATGTATCAATTTATAAAATGAGGATCACAAGAAGTGTGCGTTTTTATAATCTATTTTCATTTTACAGTATCACAAACAATGTTTCCCACATTAAGATCTCCCCTCCTATAACCTCACTTTAGACTGCATTGTACTACTCTGTTTTGATTTACTGTATTTCCTTAACAATCTCCAGATATTAGACATGTCATTTGTCCCCAGCTTCTCCCTCTTTTTAAGCAACACTGACTGATATCTGTGTAAGGAGTTAAGTATGTATGTGGGTTCTTAATTATTTCCTAAAGATTCACGTTAATGTGCTTTTTTGAAATGCCTTTTAAAACATGTACATTGGCAACCTGGAGCAGTGGTCCACGGAGAGACAAACTGACGAGTCAGAGACAGAGACGTACTGCTGACCGGCATGGGAAAGAAATGCTTGTCAGGAAACACTGGGGGTTAAGATGGAGCGATAACTGTGTGCCTGAAATGTGTGCTAGGAATGTAGTCCTGGCTCAGGGTGGCTATGAGTCCTAAGACCAGCTTTACCACATACTAGTGGTTAAGAGACATCCAGATGAGTGTTCGCCCCTTCTAGAACTGTGCAACTTGTTCCAACAGCGTCTGTTGATTCTCAGCTGTCTTCAGCTCAAAAATATGCCAAAATATGCCAAAGTAGCATATTTAGGGGTGGCATACTCTGACCCCCTTCACTCTCATAATTAATCATCTATTTGAACACACTAAACCTCTAGAGAAGAGCTTGCTACAGTATTATAGACATCTTTCGCCTCATTCTTTTAAAAAAAAGTTCCTATTTTCTTTCAATCACTTATGTTGATTATAAACATTTATTTTCATCTTACGTATCTCCTTTTAAAGTGTCAAGTGTCTTAGTTGCAGTTCATTTCAAAGTTGCATATTTCTTAATTCAGATATCATTAACTCATGGAACTCAACTACTCATATCCATTATGTATGTCCACTCACCATAGGAGCTAGAATAACCCTAAGCACCAGGATGAGTCACACTCCCAATATGACCACACTTCCCTGGTTTCCATCAGTCATGTAGGAAGTTCATTTCTTTAGCAATATACCCTGAGTTGAGAAACTCCAAAGTATGTCAACAGTTCTCAGGGACTGTATTTACTTTCAAAGTATCTCCATTCAATTTTATTCCTACTA